AGGGCAAATTTTGATTTGAAAAATTGTTGCAATGAATTTCAAATAACTCTTTCGTGGCTAAAAGAGGGAACATTTTGATTTGAAATGAATTTTCAGATATATTTCTCTAATAAAATATGAAATTATTTGATCAATCATAGCTATTATGAGACATATAAAATCAAAATCTCATTTAAAATTGAATTTATTTGAGGTGTGTGCCATTAATACAATAAATAAAATTATTTAAAATTTGTACAAAATTGTTTGGAAACCTTTTTTTAAGAAGGTTTTACATAAGATTTAGTTTAAACATGTCAAGTATAATTTTTGAACCTTAAATTCTATTATTTTGAAAAAAAATATTTCAACTCTAAATTAAGAAAGAAATAACAAAATAATTTATAGAAATTTAATAATATTTAATAATTTTCATGTACAAAGTTTCAAATTTTTATTCTCTTAAAATTTATTATAAGATTATTAAGAACTTAATTGAGTTAATTTCCACCTGATAAATCCCAGCTCTCTTTCTCTCTCGTTTGCTTTTCCTCTTTCTTTGAATTCAAGCTATTCTATCATATTTCCTGTTTGATTTAGGGCCGGTTTGGATGCATGTAGGATTTAATTTAAGTAGGAATTCGTAAATACTCTAAATCCTTATTTACTAAATCATGCACTACCAAAAAATAGGGTTTTCGCAGCATAAAATTTCACTTTTCCCGGCGGTTATTATCTTATAAATCAATTAAATATTATATTACTATATAATTATTAATTTAATATTTACACTATTAAGTATTAATCACCTAATTAAGTATTTATATTTTTGGGGGATTTACATACATTCCACTATATTATAGGTATATTACATATCTAACACCTAAAACTCTAATATTACATACCATGACGTCTCTCATGCAGCTCACTTCGTCTCTTTCTGTTGAAAACACTCTTCCGCAAAGTCCTTTCTTCCTCGTGTGCTCTCCCCGCGAGCTCTCCTCCTTTAACTCGGTCGGACTTCTCCGATGTTTGTGCTTTTTGTAATGAAAATCATGGTCGGAGAGGTCTTGCTAAGATCCCCGCCCCGCGAGCTAGATTATTCCTGTGATTTTGCACTATGACACTCTTGAAACTAGGAGTAGGTGCTGGCTTTGGTTCCTTAACTTGTCTGTATGGCACATTTCTAGTTGTCATGATATATTCTATATTAATTTGCTTTGTTGTCACGATGGCATTTTGGTTTCAAAATTTGTGTCATTTCAAACGAGTTTATGTTTTGAAACCAAAATGTGTGCATATTACTGCTCAAACCAAAATCTGTGGCTTTTGTGCTTTAATACATTAGACATCAGTTCATGTTTTATACTCATAATTGAGACTATTTTATATGTTCTCAGCATATTTAATATACACGAAGCTGTGCCATTTGAAATGGCTTCTATGTTTTTATCAGAAATGTGCTAATTTGTATACTACTTTGACAGATTTTGTGCCGTTTAAAATGAGTTTGGCTAACTCATCTTTTACAAAAGGCAAACACTAACATTCAAAAGTTTACTGTTACTGTCATCTGAATTGTGTGCTATATACTTGGCACAAAAATCCAAATAGTGGAAGACAATTTTATAGATGCATCATAATCTAACATATAATGATTGCAATTACTTTAAGTGAATAAATGAAGTAGAAGAGCCATCTTATGCCATGAATGGTGAATTAAATGGCATAGAGGCAAGGATTTCTAGGAAACTAGACTTGATCATCTATCTACCTGCCGAAAGCCTTTATTGATACTATCGTTAGGGTCTTTTTTGTGGAGTAATATGTTGTGCCGAATTAGGTTTGAATGTTGCTTTAGTGTTGTAGACTTCGACACTTTTTTTTTTGTATTTTTTTATTGATCAAACGTAATGTATTTGTATTATATTTTCACTGATTTTGTGGAATGAAAAAAATGTTGATGTATTTGTCTTGTATCTTAACTGACTTTATGGAATGATGATAGTAAACGATAGCTAATGTTTAGCTCTCATGCCAAAATGCAGCAATAAATTGTGTTGGATTGTACACAGAAAAGCTCAAATTGTGCTTTCACAGACTAAATTGTAAAATGAAATTGAACATTCACATACAAAATGAGTTGTCCTGCACATAGAATTGCCCTTTACATAGAATTGCCCTTTTTTGGACAAAAAAAATTGTGATGTAACATTCAACCAAAAATTGTGCTTTAAAAAAACACAGGATTAGCCGTGGCACATTTAAAAAATTGGCCTGCACAAAACCAGAAATTGTGCATTCACATATAAAGATTGACCTCTACATGCCCAAACCAATGAAGCTATAGACCGTCCACATATGAAGACTTGAATGCATGCCTCTCAACTTCATCGACACTCCTTCTACTCGTCAACTTTATCTGTCGTGCTTGTCCTACTTGTGAGTGTTGCGTCGTTGTTTTTCTTATTTTACAATGGGTTCTTACAAGTGCTTAAATGATGGCCGCAAAGACCACATCGTCCTCATTTATGTACATTCTTGTCCTTCTCCAAGAAATTTTGCAGTCTTCTTTTTCTTGGCCTTCCTCTTGGTTTGGATGTATTCGACACTCCACTTTGCACAACATCATCTACAACTCGCTATTGCTTCTTCCCAGGTAACATGAAAATTGCTCAATCGTATGTATGTCTATGCCTATTTCAACTGTCAACCTCAAGTTACTGTACGCTAAATGAAAATAATAGTACATATGCAAGTATGGGTGAATGTTACGTTCCCACGTAGTAGTACTCATCAACATATGTATGCCACAACATGTGCTCCTTCATACCGACGAAAGCCATGGCATGAATGCAAGGGAGTCTAATTAACTACCACACCCTACATGTGAATTCTCTTCTTTCAACATTGACAACATGTCTTGAATGGAGGCCCTCCACCTTAGCCATGAAAATACTAGATTGGCTAACTAGTAGATGATCTTTTATTGTTGTGATTTCTCTTATGTAATCTTCCACATTTGGGAATAATTCTCGCTACCATGTCATGCTAGTCATCTTTCATATAGCTCTCTTCTCCATAAGCTTACCCCGAATCACATCGATTAGATCCACCATGGGTTTATTTCTAACATCGGTGATCCATGAATTAAATGATTCAGCAAAATTATTTGTATTGGTAGAATGAAATATCCCAACCATGAATTGACTTCTTGACCACTTGTATGGTAACGATATCATCCGAGTTTGACGATAAAAGCACACCTAGGTGATTAGATTTTAGGTGGCATGCATCCAAAGTGAAGAGGTCTACAAGCAATAAGGAATCTGTCAGCACACACCTTGAAACTAACATAAAATCTTTGAAATGAATTGTCGATACTATCATACATGTATGTTACATGTGAGCCCATATTTCTATCAATTAATTCTTCTTGTAATGTTGGAACCCACTTATAATTATCATCAACTGAGACAAATATCATATTACTGGCTTGCTCTCTTGCGCTCCAAAGCTTCATATAAGGTAATGATAAATCATACTCCTTTTATAGACCAGTATTTATTTCTTTTGGAGGGATGTCTAAGTGCATCTTCACCATCTCCTGAATCTCATTGGCAACCATTGCATATGTGGCGATTCTATTCCCTGTACAATTCGACCCAGGGCATGTGCGCATTACATCCACTCTCCTAACTTGAAAAGATTGTGTCTTCACATAAAGAAGCCCATATTTCTAGATTGGTCCTTGGTGCCAACCCAAAAACCTCCAAATTTAAATGCAACAAAAATATGCTCTTTTCCTCCTCCGCATAAATCACTTCCTCCTTTGTCACCATAAACATGCATGGATCTGCATGGATAAGTAATTTCCAAGTTAAAAATGTCAAGTTACAAGAAGACATTTAAATGGATTTTTCAGTGCTCAGAGAAATGTCACACTGATGTAATTTTAGTAAATGAACGATCTTTAGTCATCAAAATTGGAAATAAGAGCAATAATTTCAACCCAATTCTCCAAAAGTATACATGAAAAGTACAAAGCGAAATTAGCATCCAATGTAGCATATAAACAACAAATTCCTCCAAATGTTGCCTCAGAAAAATGTCATACTGATGTCATTTTAGAAAATGAACGATCTTTAGTCTTCAAAATTGGAAATAAGCAAAATAATTTCAACCCAATTATCCAAAAGTATACATGAAATGTACAAAGCTAAATTAGCATCAAAATGTAGCATATAAACAACAAATTCCTCCGAATGTTGTCTCATTTCTAGGTTTAGTTTTGAAAACAAAATAGTCACCCGGAAGAGCGATCAGGAAGAGGGATTTGAGCCTACAGATAAAACAATTCATCTTTAAACAGCGAAATGAAAAAAATCGCAGTTTGCAGGTCGCTGCGAGTAGGGGAAGAGCGATTGGACATAGTGAGCGGGAAGAGGAATTTCATGGTGATAGAACTTACTGTTTTTTCGCTGAGAGGAGATCGCCAAAAGAGCCCGCGAAGAGATGAGTTCGTGGGAAGAGGGATTTGAGCACGCAATGAGTGGAGCATAGGAATGAGACAGAGTAAGCTGCTTTAGAGACGCTGTAGTAGATTTGTAGTTAACATTTATTTTTGGTGCTAGAAATGAAATATTTGAGTTTTATGTGTTAGATAGTAGTATGTATGTAAATTCCTCTTATATTTTAAATTATATTAATTAATTTAATTAAATTAATGTCTAATTAAGTAATTAAGAATAATACCCTCCTTCGTTGGACTCGGACGGAGAGAATCATTCGAATTTGCTACGCTTTTATTATTCTTTTGACAATAAAGGAACAACAAATATTCAATATTTACTAAATAATTAAATATTTACTATATTTTTACTAAATATTTATAAAAATATAATAAAAAATAATAAAAATACATCAATAATTGAATATTTACGACTTTTTACTTATTTTTGTAAAAGTACAAAAAAAAAGTTAGTAAATCGGGACAATTCTATGTATAGTCCGCACGGAATATTTTCTCCGTTCGCTGCCGTTCGGGTGAGGTAGAGTTCGAGCGGCTTCGCTGGTTCGCGTGTGGTAGAGCTTCGAGCCAGTAAATTGACATTGCCTGTCTAGGGTTTGCTCTTCCTCTTCTGCATTTATTCGCTGTTGTTCTGCTTCTCGTGAAGTAGAGTTCGGAACGGGTCCAAGCTTCTTCGCCTCCTCCTCCGACGTTGTTCCTGTCGGATCAGAAGTCGCGCCGGGAGCTAGCCGCGAAGCTAACGATATTTCTCCCCTTTCGTGCTCTTCTTCGGTCGGGATTCTTTTTCTCATGCCACACGAATGCCTTAAATCCGCCGAACCGAAGGATTTTTCGTAAATCCGGGATTTACCACGAAAAGAGGGAATTTTCCGTTAACCGCGGCTTTGATTTACCGTGAGATTTGGTTTTACTTTTTTGGCCGTTTAGCTGGATTTAGCTCAAATCTGCCCCAAATCCAGCCTAAATCCTGCATCCAAACAGCCCCTTATTTTTGCAATTCGAGAAAATGAAGCGGGGCTATGGCGAACCCCCCTCCGCTTCCTATTCTTCTTCCCAATTGAAGCGAAAATGGAATTCATTCGGTAGGTCCGAAATCCCTTTCTATATTTTCTCCCAATTCCTTGTTTTTCCCTCCTTAAACATTCAAATACGCCTCGCCTTGTGTTAATTCTATTTGTTCTTGTTTTTTAGACGAGTCCTCTAGTTTTGCTGACGAAAGCACGAGGAAAGCTCGGAAGGTGGCGGACCATTACAGTGCAAGGTCGAATCAAACCCTAGAAGAGCGCGAGGCTAGCCCTATCATACACCTAAAGAAGCTTAACAACTGGGTACGTTAATTTGTATCAGAAATCCAACTAAGACGAGTCCTGTAGTTTTTCGTTGCACTTATTTGGCTGATATCCTCAATGATTTTTTGTTAATTTGGTTTCGCTTGCTGGCAGATTAAAAGTGTCCTCATTCAACGTTATGCTCGCAGGGGTGATGCTGTTCTCGACCTGGCTTGTGGGAAGGTTAGGGAATTTTTTTTTTTTTTTAAAACACAACTCTCCTTGGCCTATTGGTTGAGAGCTTAGGCTTCCAACTAAGAGGTCCAAGGTTCGAGTCTATGTGTATGCGTTGTGTGTGTGAGTTTGCCTTAAATGGCCTAAATGTCCCAAAAAAAAAAATTTTTTTTTTTAATGGTCTGGATTCCTGATAGGCTGAATACAAAATTAGCTTTAGACATGGAGATCATCATCTTATCTTCCATAACCTTATTCCAACCAATTGTTATTGGCTTTATGAATCCTCCTTAATTCATTAATGTAGGATGCAATGCTAATTTGTACAAGTCTTTTTCACAACTTCTGACCAGATTAACTTTGATCCACCCTTTTTCCCTTCTGTTTTCCATTTGTTTATTTTGTTTGTGCATCTTCTGCCCTGTGTAAATATCCTAACCAATTGTCTACTTTTCCTTGCACAAATTTCTACATTACCGTCTCCAAAATATAACTATTCCAATCTGCTTGCATTTTTTTTTAATTTCCTTATTCTCTTTTGGATTGTACCCTTCAGAGGTGTCGGAACATGCAAAATTTTTATTTATCTGGTAGCTTAGTCAAGCCTTGTATTCACATTTCTTTATCAAATCAGGGAATCGGCTTAGTTTGATCTATGATATCTTCAAGTTCCAGTGATGAACACGCCCTATTTTTTCTGTTCAATTTAGTTTTTCTTTTCATTGTGGAACGTAAAGGAAGCTTATCATGACCATCTCCTCTGTTATGTATCTTATTGTTTGTACAGGGTGGTGATCTTATCAAATGGGATAAGGCACAAATTGGATATTATGTTGGTGTTGATATAGCAATAGGATCTGTAAGTTGCATCCTTTGCTTTACTATTTCCTTCTATGTATATTTACTCATGTTGGAGTTGATAAGCTTAAATAGTCTGTTCTACGTTAAGTTCCTTTATGTAAGTTTCTATTGTTTTTGAAAGCTTTATTATATTTTTTGAGTCACTGATAATTATTTTTTAAACTTGTCATAGATGCGTCTTGCTTCCTTTCAGTATATGTACACCTTAGAGAAGATAGGCCATACCAATGATAACATGAATGATGATAAATGAAGGGATATTATTATTCAAAGAAGAACAATAATATAATGTAGATACAAACGATGTTTAGATGGGTGCACCATAGTTTTTATGAAGGACATAGCCATCAAGCTTTACCTTATTTTGTTACCAAGTTGCACTAATACATGAATCAAACAACATATGTACTAATACAACTCACACATTATTTATAAACAAATGAATAACATACTACATAATTTTACGGAGGGAAAAGAATAGCTTGAAATCTTCATGATTTGATTGTATAATTGATTGCTATCTTCTTAATTGAGGAGATCCTTATTTGTAAATTACCTTCAACCTTCCTTTCTAGCGTTGAATCTTTATTAGACGTTAGAGTGTATGCCTCATGCACGGTTCCAAGTTATAAATTTAGGCAAACCTTATTAAAGATTGAGTGTATACAAATAATTGCTTTCATTGAGTAATTTTCTTCATTGATTGCTCCAACATTAATTGAAGATAATGATGCCACATTCTTTCCTTTAAAAAAAGATAACCTTTCTTTCCATACTTGCATAGCGATAATGATGATTTAATTCTTTTCCTATTTCAATGATGGTCATGATAACAATCAACTTATTCCATGATAACGGTGATCATGTTGACAACATAATATTTTTCAAATTAGGAAATAGGTGTAGCGCCCGAAGAATAATGATTTGACTTTTGAGGTCCTTTATGTAAACTCTATTTCTTTTCTTTCTTAATTCTATAATGATGTTTATTTACGTGTGATGAAAACAACTAAAGCTGTCTTAAAATTTTATGAAGATAATGGCTCGCTTTCACTACTTTTTTTATGCTATTACAGGACTACTAATTTTGTACCAAAATCGTATTTTACACTGTATTTAGATAAAAGACTGCAGAACCCGTTACAATGGTGATGCAGACCAGCAACAACGCAGAAAAAAGTTTTCATTTCCTGCTAGACTTATTTGCGCAGATTGTTATGAGGTACAACAACAACAACTACTGCATCAAGCTTTTATCCCACTATATGGGGTCGGCTACATGAATCATTTTTCTCCATTGTGTCTTGTTAAGAGTTAAATTCTTATTTAAATATAATAAAAAAAGGCTTTTTGGCGATCGGAAATATATTCTTATTCCTATCTTGTTTTGACGACAGACTCACTTGGATGAGTATCTGAGTGATGATGGTCCATTCGATATATGCAGTTGTCAGGCAAGTCCTTGCTTATGAAATTTTAATCTTACTGAAATGAATGAAGGCACATTTACTTGAGCAGTTTTCTTTCTGCTTTGCATTATTGCTCTTTTCATCAGTAATTTTGACGTTTAAACATCTCAGTTTGCCTTACACTACTCATGGTCAACTGAAGCACGAGCAAGGAGAGCATTGGCCAATATATCAGCCTTGCTTCGACCTGGAGGTTACTTCATTGGAACCATGCCAGATGCTAATGTTATTATTAAAAAGCTTAGAGATGGTACATTCTTTGACCTATACCAGATATTTCATGTTTGTTTTTCAAACTTAATGTAATTGCGTCATTTCTTTTGGTTTTTAAATTTATTCCGGTTCTTCATGTTTTTTTCTCTTACCCCTTTGTTTGTTGAATTGGAAGAGCTTTGGTCCCAAGTCTTATTTCATCAGTCATTGTTAACTTTGTTGTGTGTGGAATTGCTGACCTTTGCAATCGTTGAACTCATTATCCTATAGGCTGTCATACATGGTTAATATGCACCATGAATTGATGAGATTGCATCATTGGTAACAGTTACACTCCATAATTGGATTTCTTAGAAGAATTTTATGCCCCTAGATAGTACAGTTACACTTCATGTTTAAAATCGTGATTAAGAATATGAATGGAGGGAATAATTGTATATGTATATAAATATATATGTATATATATTAAAAATAAACACAGGTATCACAATCACTAAATCGGAGGAGAGTTGAAGACATATACCGGGGTTGATTTTTCCCCATAAGCCCTTGATCGTCGATTTTAATCAGATTGAGCAGACTTGAAAGGGCAAGTGCCTTCCTAAAACTTCCCTCACGGGGAGGGGGCGTCGAAAGGCTGTCAGAATTCTGGGGAAAACACCAAATTGCAAAATTATCCTAACAGGTACTCGCGCACCGCAGAAGAGTGTGGGTTCGCACGTAAGCTGGGCTTGGGCGTAGCGGTAGGTTCGCCCGCGGGACGGGCGCTAGCGCCGTTCGTGGTAAGGAATTTTTTTTTAAATGTTTTATTTATTCCAGTGGAGTTTGTTCTGCCGGCAAATTTTTCCGGCGGGCTTAGTCCGCCGGGAAAAAAAGTCTGGTGGAAAACTTGCGACGAAAAAAATTTTCGACGCTCAATTTACCGGCGAACAAAATTTCATTGGAATTCCGTTGGAAACTTTAAAATCCGCCGGAAACTCCTTAAAATTTATCCGGAAAATCCGTCGAAAAGAAGAGATTTTCCTGTAGTGCTCATCGTAACTTTCTTACACAAGAGAGGGGGATTAAAGTTTGAAACTCATTCAATTTGTGTGGATATATAAAATTAAAAAAAAAAGATAAATAATATGGCATGCTATTTAAATTGATTTCTTTTTTAATTGAGTTTAAATACAAACCAGTTTTAGCTTTACTTTTTATCCTCCCAAATCAAGCAAGTTTGGATCTAATGGTTGATTTTTAGCAAGCCAAACTAAATCATGGCTATTTGATTGGGGAAATTATTTTGTGTGGATATGTCTGAACTCTTATTAAATCTTGACATGTACAGTGGACATTTGATTACTCAATCAATTTTCATTTTTTATTCATGTCTTGTCAGCCCAAACAATCAACCCACGAAAAATATGAATTTACATGAGTTAAAAGCTCAGAGGTAGGTCATTTTACTTATCATCCCGACATTTCACTACTCACTTTCTATCTCATTCAGCATTACAAACACTTCAATGCATTCGTTCAACATTCCAGCCGATGCAAAAGTTCATCTCCACGTGCGAACAAATGCAATAACTTGTTGCACCTTGGATGCGCTTTTGCTACATATTCTCATGTATCGATGTTGTACCGAGTTCTTCTATTTTTTAGAAACAATTTTATTTTTGTTTGCTCAAAAATTTCTGAGTTATTTTTGTTCATTTTAGCCTTATTTTAGCTACGCTTTAAGTGTGCTTTCATTGTCCATTTTCTTTCATGGTATCAGTTCGTGTAACGACTTCTTCATCTATCAAAAGTTGGTTGCATAGCTTTAAAACATATGAGTACATTTTTTATGGTACATTTCACTGCTCTTTTACTACTTACTTGCGACTGCGCTTCCTGCATGCTTTTGCCATGTTTTCACTGCACTTTTCTTTATATTCACTATGTTTTTGAAGCTTTCTAAATCTTTTGTTATTTTTTGCTGCACTTTCATTGTGCTTTCACTGCTCTTTCACTTAGCTTTCATTGCACTTTTACTGTGCTTTTGCTGCGATTTAATTGTATTTTTTCTGCACTTTCACTATGCTGTTGTTGTGCTTTCACTATACTTTTCTTTTTATTCATTATATTTTTTAAGCTTTTTAAAGCTTTTTTTATTTCTTTTAATGTGCTTTTGCTATGCTTTAACTATGCTTTTGCTACACTTATCTTCATATTCACTATATTTTTGAAGCTTTTTGAAGGTTTTGTTATTTCTTTCACTACGCTTTTGTTGCACTTTCACTGTGCTTTCACTGCACTTTTTTGTATTTATTATATTTTTGAAGCTTGTGTTATTTCATTCATTGTGCTTTCACTAAGCTTTCATTGTGTTTCAACTAAGCTTTTGCTACATTTTTTATTCTTTTTCATTGCGCTTTTCTTTATATTCTCTATTTTTTTGAAACTTTCTGAAGCATTTATTATTTCTTTCATCGTGCTTTCATTGTGCTTTTGTTGCGCTTTCACCGCGCTTTTGCTTCGCTTTTCTTTATATTCACTTCACTGCTCTTTCACTTAGCTTTCATTGCACTTTTACTGTGCTTTTGCTGCGATTTAATTGTATTTTTTCTGCACTTTCACTATGCTGTTGTTGTGCTTTCACTATACTTTTCTTTTTATTCATTATATTTTTTAAGCTTTTTAAAGCTTTTTTTATTTCTTTTAATGTGCTTTTGCTATGCTTTAACTATGCTTTTGCTACACTTATCTTCATATTCACTATATTTTTGAAGTTTTTGAAGGTTTTGTTATTTCTTTCACTACGCTTTTGTTGCACTTTCACTGTGCTTTCACTGCACTTTTTTTGTATTTATTATATTTTTGAAGCTTGTGTTATTTCATTCATTGTGCTTTCACTAAGCTGTCATTGTGTTTCATCTAAGCTTTTGCTACATTTTTTATTCTCTTTCATTGCGCTTTTTTTTATATTCTCTATATTTTTGAAACTTTCTGAAGCATTTATTATTTCTTTCGTTGTGCTTTCACTGTGCTTTTGTTGCGCTTTCACCACGCTTTTGCTTCGTTTTTCTTTATATTCACTATATTTTTTTAAGCTTTCACTATGCTTTTGCTGCACTTTCACTATGCTTTTGTTGCACTTATACTTCACTTTCATTGTGCTTTCTTTATATTTACATGTATTTTTTTATTTGTAAGAGAATGTTTGCAAATGTTATGAATCCTTACCCAATCTATAATACAAGCAAATTCTTCCAATAGTCATAAGGTAGAGCAGTATGCATAGTATGTTAACTCTTTTCTCGATATAGACAATGAACTAATATTTATTCTTTATTTTTTTCAGGAAAAAAAAAATACCATGACATGAAAGGATCATTTGAGACCAAAAAAACAAAATGGAATATCCAAATTGTCTATGAAATTCTAAGCCAAATGATAGTGTTTATTGCATAAAGTTCTTCTGCAAATCTATAGAAAAAAGTTATTCATCAAAGGAAAATGGATTTGGCAGAACATAAAAATTGACAAGATGAAATGCCAAAATTTAGGGTCGATTTCACATATGCTTTATTTCTTTTAATGAAGAAATAAACATGTTTTTTTGTATATTTTGTATAATTAGTGATTCATTTCATATTATATTCTTTGTTTAATTCTTTAAGTATATTGTATCAACTTATAATTTTTAATTAAATAATAATGCATTTTTTAATACTGCATTCCCTTTTATTTATAATATTACAGTCCTTGTTAATATTGCTTCCTTTTTTTAATACAGCAAATGCACAGTCAAAGCACAGACAAAGTGTAAAAAAAGTGCATCAAAGCACAATGAAAGCGCATCAACCTATGCAATCTAGTTTTAAAAATTAAAGTTGACAATAGTCAAAATCACTAATTAATTGCCAAAGCGCAGTGAAAGCATAGTGAGTTACAAAATATATTAGAATTTTCTAGGAATATTTTCTTACAAATTTAATTCATAATAAAAACACTTATAGTAATATGATCTGAATTAATAAAATCTAATTATGATAGAGAGTTGAGAACTTTGCAATCTTATTTTGAAAATTAAAGTTAATGATAGTCGAAACAACTAATTTATTGTAAATGCACAGTGAAAGCGCAGTGAGTTACACATTATATTATAATTTACTAGAAACAATTTCTTAGAGATTTAATTCATAATGAAAACTCTTATAGTAATATGATCTGAACTAATAAAATTTGATTACGACAAAGAATTCTAAACTATGCAATCTAGTTTTGAAAATTAAAGTTGATGATAATCGAATTCACTGATTAACTGCCAAAGGACAGTGAAAGCATAGTGAAAGTGCAGTTAAAGCATACTGAATTAAAAATTATATTATAGTTTTCTAAAAAAAAATTATGTACAAATTTAATTCATTGTGAAAACACTTAAGAGTAACATATTCTGAACTAATAAAATCTGATTACGATAGAGAGTACCCAACTGATAGTCAAAACCACTAATTAATTTCCAAAGCGCAGCTAAAGATAAGTGAAATCACAAGTAAAGTGCAATGAATTACACATTATATTGTAATCTTCTAAAAAAATTTTGTTTTAAATTAAATTCATTGTGAAAATACTTCTTGTAATATGTTATAATCTAATAAAAACTGATTACGATAGAGAGTTCTAAACCATGCAATCTAATTTTAAAAATTAAAGTTAAAGATAATCGAAACCATTGATTAACTACCAAAGCGTAGTGAAAGCACAACAAAAATAAAGTTAAATCACAATGAATTACTAATTATATTATAATTTTCTAGAAAATTTTCCTTACAAATTTAATTGCCCCTCCATCTCCATATTATCTACGTATTTGTTGCATATTTACGAGTATTTTCTACATTTTATCGAATGTGTTTTTAGAATTGAACTTGTAAGGAACATTTTTTTTTTAAATTGTTGAAAAAGAGAAAAAAAAAACAAATCTTGTTATGGAACAGAAAAACAAACGCATGCCAAAAATAAGTGAAACTCCAAACATTCTCTTACAACCAAAATTTAGCCTAGAGGTGCTGCCCCTTGATCCCATGACCTGATCGGGCAGGTTGAACCCCACCAAGGGGCACTGCCCCCTTAGACCCACGACATATTTCATAAGTATATAGAAAAAAACTATAATTTCTTCAGGTTGCAGCTCTTTCAAATTCAATTCTTCATTTTTCTTAGTGTTTTCATACTGCCTTTTAGATTCTGTGTTATATAGGCATATCATTTGCTCGAAGATTGAACGTCCTCCTCCAAATTATTCTTTATCTTCATCAGCTCTTCCTTATTTTTTTACTTTCTCAGTAAATATAAAAAATTCATTGAGCTAAAATTCAATATATTATGAATCTTTCGCAGTACTTTTCATTTTAAAAAAGAACATCGACCCTAAAACCTAAATTTTAACGTGATGTTGAATCTCTGGGTTGGGTCGATCGAGCCGATAAGATTAAAATTAAAAATAAAATCCAATTTTAATATCCACTTCTTCAAACTGCGTGCCATAACTTAATTAGAGTCTAGATGTAAAGCTACATCTAACTCCACACAAAATAATTTCTTATTTGATTGAGGGTTTTGTTTA